GTGAGGAGGTTGGGGAGGAACATGGGCCAGTTCTGAAGGCTGGGGAAGGCTTGGACAAGGGTCTGCGTCAGAGTCAGAGACGGGGCTGAGGCTATCTGACAGTGATCAGGTGCCTACGGAGCTAGACAACAGTGAGGCAGAGGAATAGCTAGAGCCTGTTCCCTGTGTGCGCATGTGCAGAGCTGCCAGAAGAAAGGAACAACTCAGAAATCAGGGTAGACTTGGTAGTAAAGTCACAAGTGGAGGGTGATTGGCCCCTCCCATAGGAAATAAAAGAGGAGCAAAAGGGGAATGGGCTTTTGCAGGAAACAATTCGTTCGTTTGGTTTTAGATTCATTTCAGGAGGGTGAAGATCTGTCCGTGAATCTCAGAGACTCTGTGCCCAGCCTTTCCTTGCACAGCATCTCACTTGGAAAACATTTATATGGCAGCTTTCCAAGATAGATAAGGTCTGTAGTCATAAATAGTCCTTTGAAAGACTGTTTGCCAGGCCTTGCTGAATGTGAATGAGAGGAATTTACATTTGTTTAATAAAAGGGGTTTTGTCCGAACCAGGAGTCTGCCTCATGCTTTTGGGGGAAGCCTAGGTTAGAACACTTTGCATCTGACACATCCACCAACGACCAGTTTTTTTTTTTCTGGGGGGAGAACCATCACCATTTTGGTGTTCTTCCTGTCCCTTAGGTAAAAATAGAAGGCAGAAGGAAAAAGAAAGTGTATTTTTAAAATATGGGGGGAGGACTGAGGCAATATAGTGGGCATTGTCCTTCAGAAATTATTTTTTTAACTGTACTTCACACCACATCTAGCCAGACATATGAATGAACCTCAAGTTTCTCTTTCTCTCTTTTTTTACAGAAGTGCAGAAGTAAGCCATAAGCTGTTACACTCATTTTTAAGCAAATCACATTTCTTCCTTGTATCAGACCTCAGCGAAATCAGAATGAAAATACAATTTCCAATCCTGGTTTCTTCTGAGTGGTAGATTAAACAAAAGCATTTCTTTAAGTCTACACAGAAAAGGAAATTGAGGTTTCTTTAGATATAAAGTATAAGATTGCAGCATCTTGTCACTATCTAAAAAGATCGTAAGGAGAATGTCAGTCCAAAGGCTGCAGGCTCACTTCCATAGCAAAAAAACCATGCTACCTCTTATTTCTTGCATGGCTTGGAAATTCACAGAGCGCAGAAATGCCTTTAACAAATGGATTAATACACCTATTGGGGAACCAAGAAAAAACTATATGAAGAAAAAGACAAAGACAGTTCTGGAACATTATAATAAACTTGTTGGCCTTTAAGGAACACTAGACCAGTTGAAGATTTTCCATCAAAAATCTGACAAGATAAGGTAACTTTTATTTTCATTTTTTTACTGTGGGCTCACTGGCACAGATTAAAAATGAAATTCTATTGCATGCTCTCAAAAGTGTACGCATACATAACACACACATAGACATGCTATATACATACATATGTATTTGTTTTTGTAGATTTTCATGGGTGTAAGTATGCTGGTCTTGTTGTATTCGGGTCTTTTCCCATGTAAGATTGAGATTGTCTTGGTCAATCCAGCCTGAAGATGGCGAGTGAGACCTCGCTCAATCTTACATGGGAAAAGACCCGAATACAACAAGACAAACATACATATGTATATACCTACATCCTTACATATAAATACATACAAATATTAATCACTGTCCAACTTGAACATGTAGCGGAAAGAGGAAGTTTGAGAGTCCACATGGTTGATACTGTGTGGAACAAAAACTGTGACTGAATCTAGATGTTCTGCTTCGGTTACCACCAAGCCTCCTCTCAGAAGGTAACAAGGAAAACAGGTTGTCAAGAGGATGTGTAGCATCCCAGACAACGCTGCAAACCTGCTCAAGCAACGTTTATGGGCTATGTCCTGGATAGAAGGGAGTGAATGATCTTTTCTGCCATCCTCACCACTCTCTGCACTGCCTTCCTATCTAAAGCAAGTAATGCTTCCAAACCAGACTGTAATGCAATATGACAGGAAGCTCTCAATCGTCCCTCTGTAGAAAGTGGTAAGGACAGTGGAAGGAACGTGGACTTTTCTCATGAGAAGCAAAAAATGCAGGTGCTGCTCTGCCCGCTTCACTAATGTCTCGCTGTTGAGTGACCAATCCAGCCTACTCATTAGCCGCACACCCAGAAATTTGATGCTGCTAACTATCTCCACAGAGTAATCCTTAATACACAGAGGAGTGTGACTGTGCCTGCCTTTTCTGAAATCAACAATGATCTCTTTAGTTTTTCCAATGTTTAAAACAAGGGTGTTTTTATTACACCAGTTCACAAGGAAAGTCACTATCAATGAGACTCTGAAATTTCACTTTTCTCTTTCTAAAACAAACCTGTTTTTCCCCACTAGTTATCCCTCCCTCTCCTTCCCTCAATTTTCTCCCCTTCCCCACAGCTATAATTTTAAGTATGCACCCAAAAAAAGGTATGTGGGGATTTCATCGCATATGGCTTATCGAGTGGATTGAGAGCTATGAAAGCTTGGGTATTGAATAAAAATGGCAGCTAAATCATTAACAATTTCTCCAAAACTCTTTCAATGTTTTTTTAAGTCATCTTCCCTATAATAAATTATTTGAAACAAGCAAGTAAACTTTGGAACAACTGACATACCAATTAGTACAAGGTTTTGTAGTAAAAATTGAAAAAAGGAACCCGGAAATAAGGAGAGAGAACTTCAGGCTCATGTTAATGATATGCAATATAAATCGATGATAAAATAACAGCTGAAAAACAGGATTAAATAAATAATTGAATAATAAGGCTAATTTAGATGCAGAAAATAGGGACTTTCTCCCCCCGCCCTGTTTTTTCTCTTCTTGTTATAGAAGCACCATGAAAAAAAGAGCTGTCTTATGGGAAAGAAAATCAGTGAAGGAGAGTTTCAGTGCCCCCACATGGATTAAAATAGAAGGGAAGAGAACAAGCCTTTTACCTCCCTTCCCACAAAGAATGCCCTGATGGCAAAGGATCTCAATTAAAACAATGAGAAAATGGCTTCGTTCATTTTTTCCCCCCAATATGCAGATGGGAGGAAAGAATTGGAAATCTAGTTGTGGAGGAGAGTCTTGAAAATATCTGAACATTTTATGTAATGCCTCAAAAACTCCCCTAAAATCAGATTTGATTCTTAGAAACTGCATGGGATATTAAATTTGCTTTCTTGATAACTATGTGGAGGTGGTTTGTTTTTCTGTGATATTCCTCAATATTTGGTCAATTTAACCTACCATCCTGGGCCTATCCAAGTACTAACCAAATCCAATTCTGTTTAGGTTCTTTTGAGATCATCCATGATCAGCTGGGCACTACTTAAGAATTGCTTTAGGTTTTATAATAGGGAACTCAAAGAAAAAAAATATCTACAATAAATAATATCTTCAACTAATCCAACATGATGTAAAATCTCCAAAGTAAGAATTGAAGAATTGGATCTGCTTGTATGATTCAGTCCTTGAGAGAGGGATTATGGAGTGGTGCAGTGGCCGAGAGGTGGCGCTCTCGCCTCACAATCAGGAGACTGTGAGTTCAATCCTAGGTAGCGGCAGATATTTCTCTGGGCACAATGAGAAAATATCTGCAGCGAACTCTGCATTGGCAACAGGAAGGGCATCCGGACAGTAAACACCATTCAGTTGCCCTGACTCCATCCTGATGCAAGAGATTACGGGGGTCATTAAAAGACCCCCAAAAATGAGAGTGGGTTTATGTAAATCCCCCCTCTTTGTGAGATGCATGGAGATAATAGATCTCTCTGTATGGGGTTACTTTTCCACAGCACTTATTTGCAGAAAACTCTTCTCCCAGAACTATATACAGCCTCTAATATGCTGCATCTGAAACCAGGCCCATTGTTCACTATAAAAAAGAAAAACTAGCATTCATCACCTATTGTTGAGAATCAATGCTTGAATTCTGCTGTCAGTTTTCTGTCTTTTTAACTATCAAATAAGGACCCATTACAAATAGAATGTGTACTTGTAAGTCCCTGAAAAGTTAGATAGGCAGCATTAAACTAATAATGGATAGTTCATAGCGCCAAGCGTATGATCTGTACTAATAGAGGAAAAATATGCAGTGACATTCATTCCAGCTAGCTCATCTATAATATTTTAATAATTTCTTGTGTAAAACCCATGATACATGGCATTCAAGATCACCTCTAATTGACGTTAACAAAGGCAAAGGCACCATTATATTTTGGTTAGATTGCTTTTAGCAGTTCCAAGTGCTTGATAGGAACATGCTTATCTAGATTTGGAATGCCTTGCTAGGACGAAATAAAAACAACCTCTTGAAGGACTGTGTAGGGCACAAAGAGAGTTTCAATAATACTAGACCCCCAAATGTCTATGTCTATTTCTTCTATAATAATATTCTTACAATTGGTAGATTTTAATGCTTTGCGTTTTTCCATAAGAATCTCTAGATATCTCTATGGAGATTCTCAACCATCCAGGTTTGTCCCAAAGGTGCTTTTCAAGAAGCAAATGTACTTTCTGGTTTAAACCAGAGTCCAGTTGCCTCTAGAAAAAGCACCCTTGGAACAATCTCTGGACATGTTTAAGTGGTTATGAAGCTGCTCTTTTCAAGAGATATGACTTCATACATCATATTAAGCCAGCCTCTGTTTTAATTATGGCCAAACACCAAAAGTAAACTTAGAGTTTATGGTTTATAATAGCCAATCGTCGCATAAAATGATCTGAGAACCAATTCACTGAGTACCCAGTTTAATATATGAAGCTATGGGATCTTTGGTGCTCTCTGGGCTTGGTGATTTTCTTATAGACATTTCATTACCAAACTAGGTAACATCATCAGCACTCAGAGAGTACCAAGTTCAGAAAGAACCAAGGACCCTGCAGGTTAACCCTGAGTTACAAATATTATCTTCCGTATGAAGCTATGTTAATTAATGACATTTTTCATGGAATCACTTTTCTTACCTGGTCTTGGAACAGAGCACCACCAAAGGCCCAAATAGCAGCAAAGACAAAATAAAGTTCATAGAGATCTTTAGGGCAATCTGGAGGGGTATTCTCCTTGGTGAGGAGGCATTCAAGGAGATAACACAACATCTGAACCATGTTCTGCTCAGGAATGGGAATAATCTTCTTAAATCTGTAATAGGAGAATTGAACACTTGTGAAGTTTAATAGGATTTAGCATGACTGTCATTGAACAATGCAAGCAGATATCACAGAAATCCTCTTTTCAACTGTTAACGTTTTTAAAATGTTCATTGTTTATAACTTTCTTATCCACTACTACAGAGTAGAATAAAATACCATCAGCACATAGCCAAGTAATAACTGTAATCATATATTGGAGTCATTTTAAAACGTTGATCCTCTTAAAAGAATTGAAATGGAAGTCTTGCAAAGGTCTGATCTACCACAAATGCAGTGAATTCAGAAGTGGTCAAATGAAAAGAATAATGAAACTGATCCTTTTATTTCATATTTTTAATAGGCTTTCGTTACATTTACAAGTATGAGAACCCAAAAGAGAGGGTGCGTATTGTAATTCTATATTTTGCAAATAGATGTAACAGATATACAATATCATTCATCTGCCATCTCTCAAAGTCTTTAAAACAATAATTATAAATCAAAGGATGTAGGTATTGATGCATTCTTTGGCCTAGACATTCCAGGAAAATGTCTCACACACTTCCTTCAATTTGGATTATTCTACAACTTTACTTTACATGTGATTCTGATCTGCAGCTATACAATATTTATTTGTTTGTTTGTTTGTTTGTCAAATGTGTATAGCCACCCATCCCTCACCAAAAGTGACTCTGGGTGGTGCACAACAATTGGATAGAAACAACAAATATAAAAGGAACAGATATAAAAGTCAACAAAATATACAAACCCTTAGGAAAAGAGAGGATGTAAATGGCCCCCTCAACAATGGCACCATCTAAGTGTGTCTCTGGTTCCCTGGGAGTCTCAGTCCTGATAACATAACCAGGTCTTGAGGGACTTCTGGAATGTCAAAAAAGATGAACTAATCTGATCTCAGGGCAAGAATGTTCCATAAGGCAGGCACCACAATAGAGGAGGTTGGGATCAGCCAATGTATGTCCCTAGCTATCATATACACAGCATGTCTTCTCTGCCAAATCTAATGGAGCAGGTTGATATAAGTGGGGAAAGGCAGTTCCTCAGATATCCTGGCCCCATACCATGAAAGGCATTGAAGGTTAAAACCAGCATCTTGAATTGAATCCAGAAGCAAACTGGCAACCATTGCAGCTCATGGAACAGAGGTGTAACATGCACTGTTCTAGGATTACACGTAACTGCCCATGCTGCTACATTGTGTACTAGCTGTATATTATTAATGTAATATACAGTAATAAAGGCTGTAGGCTTTACTTCCAAAGGAAGTAAAAATATGATAGATGATGATGATGATGATGATGATGATGATGATGATGATGATGATGATGATGATGATGATGAATAATGGATGGATGGATGG